ATTGATTATATCAGCGCTTCGATCGATTCGGAGTTGGCCCCAAAGGAGTCTCCCCCCTTAAGGGCTTTATTGTGAATTAAGACTCAGCTATACATATTTATATCTTTCAATTCTTAAAAGACAAGGATCAATTTAAAATTTGTACACTATTTCTCCGTGGAAATTTATAATGTTTAATAATTTTAATATGATTATATTGGCTAATATTGATGACAATTACGTGCGACAGATTCTCTAATAGTATTGAAAATTCATTTAATTACAATTTAAATTTAATCAATATCATTCATTTTATATATAATGTATACAAATATCAATAATGTTAAGTAAACAAATCAAAAATCTATTAAATATATTCTTCGTTGTAGTTAGTTATTGAATCATTTATTTCTATTACAATGATATTACCAAATTTTGTATAATTTTTATTTAAAAGTCTTTATTTATTATGTCTTATTAATCACATGTAAAGGTATACCAAATGTTCAATGATCTCAAAGACTTGAGAGGTTGATCTAATTTTTATCATAGATATGCATAACTGTGATACTAATGAAAGATTTTAATCAGTGATCATAATGAACGCTTAACTAAGCAATTCGTAATATTATGTATTAGCTCTAGTTCTAACGTTAAAGTTATTATATGAAGGATTTGAGCAAGCGTTATGTTTTTTCGTTTAATAATGCTGGCATGGTTCTGTTTGAAATGTTCAATCGTGATTTGTACAGGGCTCAGAGGACAGTGCATATTTACAGGGTGCTGCCAGTAGGCCACGTGTGATGAAGAGAGGCCTGGACGAATTTCACATTGAGGATGGCGAGCCCGAGAAAGTGGATCATCTTCTATTTCTTGTCCATGGTATAGGCAGCGTCTGCGACTTGAAATTTCGAACCGTCGAGGAAGTTGGTAAATTTTTAATTTGTTCAATTAATTTAAATAAAGGGTGGGTATAGTTTCGAAAATTAATAATAAAACTAGTGATACGAGAGTTATTATTTCACTGCAAGAGAACGTTAATCTTAGAATAACTTCCACCAAATTTGGCTTTTGTCACTTGCGTCATACGTACTTCATTAAATTTTACTAAGTTCAAATTAAAGGATTGAAATTTTGCAAGTTTTACAAGAAGAGATAGAAGATAGACTAGAAATGGTAGTATTCATAAAGAGATAAATAAAGCTATCTACGAAAACTATACACTTAATTATATTCTTACGTTCGTAATAAGTAATGTAGAAAGCGCATGAATGTTCTCAAGTAATTGATTATTTTATCTAATATTATTTAAAAAGCATCTTCCGTAACACGTTTTAATAATAATCATGAAAGGTGGAGAAACTTATCTAAATTTCCTTTTTATTAAATAATTCAGTGTTCTCTTTCTGTATATGTATAGTTGTACTGCTCGGGATTGGTAATGTGATTATACATACATATACAGTAATGGATGCAACTTTGTAATCGTTTTACTCTGTTTTGCTCTTTGTCATTCACTCATTACTATTTCTCAGTTTTATCATTCCCGAAGATAAAGATTAATACTGAGGATAGGTAGGCGATTAGAGAAAAGTTCACAAAACGAAATTACAAGAAAAAGATGATACAATATATAAATATTCTTTTTACTAAAAAGTCTCATGGTTTCTCTTGGCTCCCGGGTTTCCTTTTTATTTTGAACCTAGTAGAACCTTTTATAGGGTAAATACATTTTTCTTCGTCTAATTTCGAGAAATTAATCTAGAAAATTCTATATTTGAATAACCACCCATAGGCTAGTGATAACGTTTGGGAATATGTTTAAACCTTCGATTTATGAAATAGTTTTATTCACTTTTAGTATTTTCATTCAATTTAAAAAAATTGAAAACTTTGATTTAATCACTTTTGGTATGTCCATTCCATTTAAAATTGACAAATTTTATTCATTTGTCTGTTTTATTTAGTCACTTCAAATAATTATAATAATAATAATAATGAACTTTGTACGATTGCAGTTGACGAATTTCGGAGCATATCGCTACAATTGGTTCAGTCGCACTATCGAACTGCCAGCGAGCAAAGAATCGTGAACAGGATAGAGGTTCTACCGATTTCTTGGCACACTACGCTCCATTCTGAAGACACTGGAATCGACAAGAAACTACAAGCCATCACGTTGGATAGTATACCTAAACTACGACACTTTACCAACGACACATTGCTCGACATACTTTTCTACACTAGTCCCGTCTATTGTCAGACCATAATGCAAACGGTTGGAAGTGAGATGAACAGGCTTTACGCACTTTTTAAGGAAAGAAATCCGGACTTTCTTGGAGGAATATATCTAGGCGGTCATTCGTTGGGTAGTTTAATTTTATTCGATCTCCTGTGCCATCAGAAGCCAGTGTCCAATGACAAATCGAACGCTGACGATACTGAAAGCAACGAGGAAAAGGTAAGTGAAGACGTATTGCTTCTTTCATTATGAATAAAATTTCGTAAATTTGTTACATTGTATAAAATATACAGGGTGTCCCAAAAATGTCCTCCGACCCGGAAATGTGGCACTCGGGGGGTGAATTGGAACAACTTTTTCCTTAGCAAAAATTTAAACTGAGGCTTCGTTTACGAATCAGAGCGCGAGTTTGCCAGCCGAGTTCCCGCGCTAGCGGTGGCTACGCGCTACGCTTGTACTACGAAACTCCGAACAAGTAGGTCACCATGCATCGCAGGAAACCGCGTATAATAATAGCAAATAAACAAGACGTAACAAATAAAATCATACTTTTTATCATCTGTCGTTTGTTATTTAAAGAGATTAATGAATGAAACGTAAATGTAGGCAAATTATGTTTAACGTAAAAAGACGAATGCACATTTACATTTTTGTAAATTCCTTTTTACGAATTTGTAAATTTCCTTTTCAAATAACGTGTGAACGAAAAGGTAATGTAACAAAGAATAAACGAGAAGTGATTGTAGTTCGGTGAAATTAATAAAACAATAATGACCAATAAACTGAATAGAACTCACCCTTACGGAAATTCACCTGCAGCGTAGAAACCTGCGTCAGTAGGTCAGTGTACCGATCCTGGTCATCGACGGCCCAAACGGTTTATGGCAGGGTATGGCCCAGTTCGCAGGTGATCGCAGGTATACCTCACCAGCCGAAGTTAAGGGTTGTAACGTCAAGTGCGTCCTGGTTATTCCACAGAATACGTACTCGCTTCACTGCACGACCACTAACACTGATCACCCGACACAATCACTTAATGTATTTTTAATCCAACGTGTTGTTACTACGTTAGGAAAATTCGTGGCCTCGGAAAGGGCCGATTGTTTTCAATTTTTCAGATGTTTTACGTAACCAAACACTTGCACAGCAACACCCGCATATCCGTTATTGTGTACGTACCACCATAACATTGCGTAATACTCCCGTGAACTGAACATCTCTGTCGCCCGATTGCTAACCGACTGACAGAATTTTTCCTCAACCCCCAAGTAGTTTCCCATCGTTACATTGTGAGTTCACTCCCACCATGACAAGATTTAGGTAGAAAGAAACCAACGGTTCTAGGATAACACGTGCTTTGCAGAAGTGGAAGGAAAGGACCGTCGCGCAGTTTCTCCAAGGCGCCGTAGCCCGTTAATTTATTGCCAGGGTACCTACTCCTTCGAGATAGAAAACAGACATCACGTGCATCGGCTTAAAAATGTCCGAAATGAAGAGGACCATCAACGTATCCCTTGCTTCGAGTTGGAAAGTACAGTGTACATTGTCTATCTCGAGGAGCAGGGAAAAAAATTTACCGACACGTGTCAGTTGACGCTGCAAGGCCCTGGACGACCACCCTTGTAGAGGCCGGAGTGGAATTTTCGGTTATTTATGGCTTAAAATCTTCGGCCTCGTAGCAATCGTGAACTCACAACAGAATTGACAATCGACAATTTTATTACAACTTTGTGAAATTGTAGTTCTCATGAAAACATTTCATACGTATTTTTTTTTTTAGTATTCCGTCAAATATCTCGGAAATTATTAGAAATATAAAAACCGTATTCGTTAAATTTTTTTCCGTAATATAAGCCTATCGGTAGGATGATGCGGTTCATATTAACGTAATAGTAACCCATTGAAGACAGCGGTGCGCCCCGGTTCAGGTAAAAGAATCCGGCGCTCCACTATCACAGTCGATTGATGGTATCGCTAACGCTCCAGACTATTTCAATGACATTAAAAGCTATATCAAAGTGTCAATGATTTACGGAAAAGAGTTCAACGAATACGGTAGTATTTTTTTTGGATTTACCTGCAGCGCGCACTGTCAGGAGTCGTCGAAAGATTGTTTAAAGAAAGGGATTATTCTGGAATTCAATGATATAGCTACATTCAATATCAAAACAAACACAATATTGCAAATTGTAAGGTTTTTATATTTCTAATAAATTCCGAGATATTTGACGGAATACTAAAAAAAAAAAAGGCCGAAGAAATTGAGCCATAAAGAACCGAAAATTCCACTCCGGCCTCTACAAGGGTGGTCGGCCAGGGCCTCTTCATTTCGGACATTTTCAAGCCGATGCACGTGACGTCTGTTTTCTATCTCGAAGCAGTGGGTACCCTGGCAATAAATTAACGGGCTACGGCGCCTTGGAGAAACTGCGCGACGGTTCTTCCCTTGCACTTCTGCAAAGCACGTGTTATCCTAGAACCGTTGGTTTCGTTTTACCTAAATCTTGTCGTGGTGAGAGTGAACTCACAATGTAACGATGGGAAACTACTTGGGGGTAGAGGAAGCCCTTTCGGAAAAATTCTGTCAGTCGGTTAGCAATCGGGCGACAGAGATGTTCAGTTCACGGGAGTATTACGGAATCTTATGGTGGTACGTACACAATAACGGATATGCGGGTGTTGGTGTGCAAGTGTTTGGTTACGTAAAACATCTGAAAAATTGAAACCAATCGGCCCTTTCCGGGGATACGAATTTTCCTAACGTAGTAACAACACGTTGGATTAAAAATACATTAAGTGATTGTGTCGGGTGATCAGTGTGTTAGAAATATAATTTGAACGAGACACGTGCTTTCAGTTTGCTTTATTTTTCAATTCTCCTTGCTTTGTCTCCTTGACCCGTATTTATGTTCCGTTCGCACTCCTTCCTCTTCCCTTTCACACATCATTCGTCCAATCACTCACACCTTACCTATTACTCGATCTCATTCGTTCTCATTCATTCGGCGCGCATTCCTTCCGCATTCAAACATTCTTTTTCGCTACAATTCGGCCATCCTGCTCATTCGGCGTCCTCGTCGACAGTTTTTCTCGAACGCGTTTGCGCGCGATTTACATAATCTCCTGCTCTCGCTACAAATTTTAGTCGATCTGCCGCTACTACTCCTTGGTAAGTTCTAGCGCTCTGTTTCTCGCCCTCAATATCTCGCACAATATAACGATCATTTCCGAGTATTTCTTCGATTTCGTACGGTCCTCGATATTTGGGTGACAATTTGCGGCTTTCTCCCGACGCAGGTGCTTCGCTTCTTACAAGAACTAAATCGTTTACTCGGTATTCTCTCGCTTTGATTCTTTTTTTGTTAAATCGCTCGCTGAGCGCATTTTCATTTTTCTTTAATAGCTCGGTAACATTTTCACTCGCCTCTGTTTCTCCAAATTGCGCGTTAATCTCCCGAATTTCTCGGGTGAGCTCGCTTTCGTGCCATCCCGGGGCCTTATGATTAAAAACAATTTCATACAGCGTTTTTCGCGTAACTTTATGTCAACTGCTATTAATACCCCACTGCACATCATACAATTTTCCATCCCAGTCTCCGCCATTGATCTCGTGCGTTATCGCGGTTAGACAATTTAGTATAACGCTATTTATCCGCTCAACCTGTCCGTTTGCACGTGGTGCGCCTGTCGCTATTTTGACGTGTTGGATCCCGTGATCCTGACAAAATTTTTCAAACTCGCGCGCGGTAAACGCAGTCCCTCGATCACTAATAATACGATTCGGCCTGCCGTAGTGTGACATGAAATCTCGAATGAACGCTAAGGTAGAACTCGTTCCTACATCTTCTGTTGCCCTTAGCGCTACATACTTGCTATATCCGCATATAATTGCTGCCACGTACTTATTATTATATTCCGTCGTCGGTAACGGCCCTAAGTGGTGAATATGAACAGTCTGAAACGGAGCGCTGCCCTTATCTAGTGGGTGCAAAAACCCGGGCTTTTTCCCTGTGGGAGCCTTGGAATATAAGCACATCACACATCGGTACACATATTTGGTGACAAAATCTCGCATTTTCGGAAAATAGTATTCCTCTTTAACCTTCTCTAGTGTCTTATCAATGCCCAGATGTGCTACTGACCGGTGCGCCTCGGATACTATATCGTAACGTAAATCGTGTGGTACATATAATCGCCATCGTCCTTTTGACACTTTGTAAACTCGCGCATTACACATTGTGAATTTTTGATGAACGCTCTGGTCTCCGGCCTCGAGTCCATCTCGAACGTGTAAAATATCGGCGTCCGCTCGTTGCATCGCCGCTACCCAATCGGTATTAACCTGAACTCCTAAAATGAGCAGCCCTTCAACTTCAGTGTTCTCAGGCTATCCTACTGGGTTTCTGCTTAATGCATCTGCTACACTATTCCGTTCACCTTTTTGATATTCGATACTATAATCGAACTCCGATAATCTAACGAACCACCTCCCGATGCGCGGATTTAAATCTCTCTTATTCTCTAACATTTTCAAGCTGTTACAATCGGTTTTAATAACAAAATGAATTCCAACCAAATAAACTCGGAATTTTTCAAGCGCGCATACTATTGCCAATGCCTCCAACTCATATGAGTGGTATTTGGCTTCCTCGGGCGTTGTCCGTCGACTATAAAAACTCACGGGATGCCACTTCCCATCTGGCTGTTTTTGCAACAATACTGCTCCTAGACCCAGCGTACAAGCATCCGTATGGACTTCTGTTTCGGCATCGTGATCATGTATTGCTAAAAGCGGTTTCGACGTTAATGCTGCTTTGATCAATTCAAAAGCCTTATTCTGCTCATTACCCCAGGAAAACTTTGCGTCCTTACGTAGTAACTCAGTTAGCGGATTCGCGATAACCGCAAAATTTCTAACGAATCGCCGAAAATAACTAGCTAGCCCTAGAAAACTACGTACATCTCGAGCACCTTTCGGAGTTGGAAATTCACGCACACCTTCCAATTTTCGTTGGCTTGGTTGTATGCCTAACATCGAAACTTCAAAACCTAAGTATTCTGTCCTTAATTTGAAGAAATGGCACTTTTTTAAATTTATAGTCAATCCCGCGTCCCTAAAAACTTAAAAAATTTGCACTAGACGGTTTAAGCCTTCCTCTACTGTCATACTCGGTATAATGACGTCGTCTATGTACGCCATAGCTATGTCATAACGCAACGACCCTAAAATGGTATTTATCATTCGCTGGAATACCGCGGGCGCGTTACATAATCCGATGGGCATTCGTTTGAATTGATAGTGTCCGTTTGGCGTCACAAAGGCTGTTTTCTCTCGCGAACTCGATTCTACCGGCACTTGATAGTAGCCGCTAAAAAGGTCTATACTTGTATAATACTTTTGTCCGCGCAGTCTATCCAACTGATCGTCTACGCGTGGCAGTGGATACTTATCCTTGATAGTCGCTTTATTAATCGCACGATAATCGACGCACATCCTCATCTCGCCATTTTTCTTTCGGACTAGTAGAACCGGACTAGCAAAGGGAGAATTACTATCTTCTATGACATCCGCCGTCTGTAACTCATTAACCATATTTTGCAATTGTCGTCTTTCATGATAGGACACGCGATATGGCCTATAAATTACGGGTCTATCTGACGCAAGTTCTATTCGCATTGTCGCCCTATTTGTTCTACCTAGCTGTCTTAACGTCGTAGCAACGAGGTCTCGATTTTCGTTAAGGGCACGCAGCAATTCGTTCGCTTCTTCTCCATCCAAGTCCGTGTCGACTTGGCTCCTGGCAATCGGCTCATCGTTGATCTCTCGTTCAAAAGCCCGCTCCTCGCAGACTTCTCCACGGGTGATGGCGTCGCCTGGCTGAATCGTTATTCGTTGACCGGTCACGTTCAGGACAGGTAGAACAGTCTGCCCTTCCTCGTCGGTGGCAACGATGCATCTAGGTATTACAGGGCCCGCCTCCCGTAGGCCGCCCTCGATGCACAGCTTCTCGTTCGACACGTTTCCCACTACAACGATATGACCTAAATAATTATTTGGAATCACATACTGCCTGTCGGTTCGGAGTGTAGTCTTTTCATTGGGCTGCGTTACGTCATCCGCTAGTCTGTCGCTGGTGGTCATCACCCTCAACTCGCCGCTGCGACTCACGATAACGACCTCAGGGTGCTCGGTGTAGGGATGTCCTACCAACAGTGGCACAGCTTGGCTTCCTTTCGGCACCACGTGTACCTCAGTTCGTACCGCAACACCGTCGATGCTGATATCTGCCGTTAACACGCCTACCGGTTGAACTCTACCTTCGCCATACCCTACAAAACTGTTCAACGAAGTCTCATAATAAGTCAAACCAAGCTCACGGGCCACGTCTTGTCGCAATGTCACCACGCACGCTACTCCCCAAATCGACGTAACACTTGACCGGATGGTCGTTCAGCAAAGCGTCCTTGAAATATTTCTGATGCGTGTCACTTGTAATGTGCAAAACTCTAGCGGTCTCGCCTCGCGCCGTCGTCGCCGTCGTCGCCGTCGTTATTGGTGTAGGTCGTGTTGACACTCTTTGTTGATCTCGAGGCATACTCCCCGGGCATGCTCGCGATATGTGTCCGTTCTGGCCGCACTTGTAACACGTTGCCAACGGTCTTGTCCTTGGACAGGCACGCGCTGTATGTCCCATCTGTTTACAAGCGTAACAAGTTAACTGCGTAACGGGTGTGGTCGATCCGTTTACGCGACGTCTGTCCATGACCGCTGGTGTCTCCTTGAAATTCAAATTTGATTGCCGCAAAGCCGTCAGAAGCTCGCTCGATCGTTTATAACGGCTCAACGGGCCTAAAAATTCTCGATATCGGGGGCTGTTCAACCCGTCCACGATCCACTCGATCGCATCGCGATCTCCCATTCCCGCCTTGTTGCACCTGGTCAACTTCTCGTAATAATACTCTACTATATCTTGATAAAGACGTCGCTTATAATTTTGAGCTTTTAACTTTTCGCTTACCATGCTCTCGTCCGACGGGAAGTTTTCGATTAGTAAGTCCTTCCACTGTAGCCACGGGCGCGCGACACGTGGTGAACTGTCTCGCCATTTTCTCGCGACTCCGGTTAGTTTCGATTGGGCGTAATGCCTGATCGCGATTTCGTCCCAATTATAGAGATCGCCGTATTCCTCGATCTTCTCGATCCATTCTTCTACCGTAATATCGTTGGAAACAGGGTCGAACGCCGGCAACACGCTCGTCACATCGCGGAAATGTCGCTCTTCGCCTACTCGTACTTCGTCGGCCATCATCACGGAAATATTCGAGTACTTCGCCCGTTGGCCTCGCACTATTTCCACAAATTTTCGCACTATACGGTACTTTGCGCTTCCGCCCGTATGCACTCCGACCGAAAAGGCTCGACACCTCCAAACAGCAATATTCACCCCTCAACGATTATCCACGAACGGTTTCACGTGGCGATCCCACTTCTGATAATTGTTAGAAATATAATTTGAACGAGACACGTGCTTTCTAGTTTGCTTTATTTTTCAATTCTCCTTGCTTTGTCTCCTTGGCCCGTATTTATGTTCCGTTCGCACTCCTTCCTCTTCTCTATCACACATCATTCGTCCAATCACTCACACCTTACCTATTACTCGATCTCATTCGTTCTCATTCATTCGGCGCGCATTCCTTCCGCATTCAAACATTCTTTTTCGCTACAAGTGTTAGTGCAGTGCGGTGAATTGAATACATATTCGATGGATTAACCCGGCGGCACTTGACGTTGCAACTCTTAACGTCGGCTGGTGTCGCATACCTGCGATCACCAGTGGCATGGACTCTACCCTGCCATAAACCATTTCGTCCGTCGAAGCCCAGGCTCGGTACACTGACCTACTGACGCAGGTTTCTACGCTGCAGGTGAATTTCCGTAAGGGTGAGTTCTATTCAGTTTATTGGTCATTATTGTTTTATTAATTTCACCGAACTACAATCACTTCTCGTTTATTTTCTGTTACATTACCTTTTCGTTCACACGTTATTTGAAAAGGAAATTTACAAATTCGTAAAAAGGAATTTACAAAAATGTAAATGTGCATTCGTCTTTTTACGTTAAACATAATTTGCCTACATTTACGTTTCATTCATTAATCTCTTTAAATAACAAACGACAGATGATAAAAAGTATGATTTTATTTGTTACGTCTTGTTTATTTGCTATTATTATACGCGGTTTCCTGCGATGCATGGTGACCTACTTGTTCGGAGCATCGTAGTACAAGCGTAGCGCGTAGCCACCGCTAGCGCGGGAACTCGGCTGGCAAACTCGCGCTCTGATTGGTCGCGGTTTTTCGTTAATATCTCGTAAACGAAGCCTCAGTTTAAATTTTTGCTAAGGAAAAAGTTGTTCTAATTCACCCCCCGAGTGCCACATTTCCGGGTCGGAGGACATTTTTGGGACACCCTGTATATGTAGGAATAATATCAAGTGGTGGTTGTATTTGGTAGAAATAAAAGGTTTATTCTAAAATGTGTAATATAAAGAGTTCGTTAGGACACGCTTGCAACAGTCTAGCTCTTAAGACACACCCGCTCTCTAACTTCCCTCTTATATATCCCCTTTCATACATGGTCACACTCGGTCATAGGTTCACACACGCATTCACACATTCTCGCCTCGTGTCGATTTTCGATCACGACGTTCGAGACGCAGTTCCTTTCATTCAATCTTATCTAGCACGCACTCTCGTTCGAAGAAACTGTCACACGGCCTAAACACTCTTCACTCGCACCGCACTCGCTTGATCTAAAACTAAACTCACGCATCTTACACCCTACATATAAGCTTGATCAGACAATTTTGAAAAATCAGAATTTTTATTAAAAACATTGAAAAATAACAGATAATTTAAGTTTCAAAATAATTTTTCACATGAAAGTGAAACACTTCCGTCAAAAAAGCCATTAGTTTGGGAAGTATTCGAATTTCAATATTATGCGCGACGTCTATGGACGTAGTACTTGTAAACATCAACTTTAGGCAGTTAACGATCGTATTACTAGTATCACTTTGCCATTTTTAAATTAAAATATCTTTTAAACTAATGGTTTTTCGATATGAATAGGCTAATAATTTTTTATGGGGAATGATGAGCTGCATCGATCAATGTACTAACACTTGTAGTACGGTGACCAGGTCCGTTTGGACCTGAGTGTTTAAAAGCCATATCTAACTCATCGATTTGTAAACATAATTTAAGGTAGAAGTTGTTCATATTTAGTCGTATAAAAAGACAGGTGTTTCTTTAATGATCTCGTTCAAAAGTATGTTTAAAAAGAAGGAAGCATGCGGTTTAAAACAGATCCAGACACCACTGTCTCTACGCACATTGTACCTACAAATGTCCGTACTCCGAGGGTTAAAGAATATATGGTTCCATTAAAAAACTAGTTTACCTTCACATGTCCTCTACGCCTTTGTCTATAAAAAAAACTATTGATATCAAAATTATGCTCTCCATGAATAATTTCGGCGATATTCGAGGGGATTGAAGGGAAATGGGATACCTTTTATGTTTTACAATGTAACGTTTCCTTTTATTACAGAAAGAAGAAGACAATGACATGTCTCGAGTATCGTCCGGTCGGGTCTTAAAGAGACGTCATAGTAAAAAAATCAGTTACGTGATCGGCGCTGCTGGAACGGGCCAGCCTTATATACATTATCCGCAACTGAATTTTCACCCATGTGCCTTTTTCGCTCTCGGTAGCCCGATCGGTATGTTCGTAACAGTTCGAGGCATCGATATGCTCGGGGAGGATTTTGTGTTACCAACGTGCCCGGCCTTCTTCAATATATTTCATCCGTTCGATCCTGTTGCCTACAGGGTCGAGGCGCTCATTAATCCGGAAGCTCACAAATATCGGCCGATGTTAATTCCGCACCACAAAGGGCGGAAAAGAATGCATTTAGGTAAATATTCGATTGGTTTATATTGTTTAAAAAAAAAATACTGCTATTTTTATTAATCTAAGACGCTGCAAGTCAACCTATTTGAGACTGTTATTTACAATTTGAAACAGAATTTTGTTTTATTTATTTCTTTGAGACTGGCAGTTTTGATTAATCGGATGATGATTCTTTCCTTTGATAAGAAACTAACCCTCCGTGACCTCCCTCTGGTTTTCATGGTACGAGCGAAATTTCGCGCTCAAATATCTCCGAAACGAAGGGATTGTTATTAAAAAAAACTTTTAATATTCAACTTTAAAAATGATTGGATCGTGTAGTAGAGATCCTGGGAAACATCTCTGAACTTTTTCAGATTTTTTGGAAGCCTTTTGAAGAAGATAAAACAAAAATACGTGATGGAAATAGTAAAAATAACGGGGGTTATGGAGGGGGTCTTGAACAACAGTTATGAATAAATTGAATGAAACCATGTAATATGACTACTATAGAACTACAAAGAAAATATTTGTGTACACACTGTCATTTTTTAAATAATTTTAAAAATTGTTTAATTATATTATCGAAATTTCTGTGTTTTTCGTTACGGTATTCTTGTGTATAGTATGTTTATAAATGATACGCGTTTCATCATTGCACATTTCTTTACATTTCTTAACATATTTGTTGTATTACGTATACTTTGCGTACGCTGATGTTTTCAGGTTTTGTATTTATTGTCATAAAAAATACTTTTCCTGTATCCTTTTTTTATTGTTCTGGAGAAAATATTATAGACACTATTATTTAGATTTAGTATCACTATTTCAGTGTAATTGTCATTACTCGGCAGTTTTAAGATGACGATTGCGTGTCAAAGTACTATAGAATGCAAAAATGTTTAATTAATATTTCCTTTAGTACATTTCATTTCATTTTGTTTTCACATTTATGTATATCACAGAATTGAAAGAAACAATGGCACGCGTTGGAGCGGATCTGAAGCAGAAACTGCTCGATTCTGTGAGAAATACGTGGAACTCTGTCTATCAGCTGGCTGTGTTTCATAAACCGGATAATAGTGTTCTGGAACGAGAAATTGATAAAGTGGTCGAGGAGGAATTTCAGAAAACACCAACTGTGCCAGAACAACAGACTTACGACGATGGCGGTACTGACTTTAAAGTGGGCGAATTAAATGGCGGACGAAGAGTAGATTACGTTCTTCAGGAAGCGCCTTTCGAATATATCAACGAATACATTTTTGCTCTAACAAGTCATGTCGGCTACTGGTTAGTATGGTTTTTAAATTATTTATATCATGAATCAGTAAAGATTCGATATGTACTATCTTGACTTAAATTACATCTAATTAAATAGATTTTCACAGCGTATTATAACGATTATAATAGTTGGACAATAATTAATCGATCAAACGAACTTACCTGTTGTGAAGTTTGATCGTAATTATATGTAGAGTTTCGTTCTCGAGATTTAACTATGTAGTACTGCTATTCCAGACATGATATCGTCACGATCTTTAGTTAACAAAAGACAAATCTGGCTGCTTCTTACGTTCTCCTCGCGTCGTCAATCGTCATGTAGTTTAAAGATAAGTTTGATAACATTTTTGGGCGGGGCAATATATTTCAGAGATTCAGTAATTATTCCAAAGGGTGGGAGTATAATCACTCGAACGAAACTCTACATATAATTACGATTGAACTTCATAACAGGTAAGTTCGTTTGATCGATTAATTATATTATGAGCTTCGTTCTCGAGATTTAACCATGTATAGTAGATGTTTAGAGCTACATTGATTATATCCCCTTTTATTTACAACATCGTTATTAATCTAAAGAACCGTATAAACTTATAAGTAGAGGCTTATAACATGGGATTCCTAATATTATTTATAGAAGAATAACCGAACCAATAAGTAACGCTTAATTATTTAACATAACAGCCTTTGCGAAATTGCTTCTGTCTTTAACAATAGGTCTATTATAGTATTTCGCAAATACCAATGACTCCTTCGACCATCCCGCTGTACTCTTTATGATATTTAAATCAACACTCTTTTTTAATGCTGCTGATGTCACTGCATGCCTTATACTATGAGCTTTATATTTATTATTGATACCGCTATGAGCCAAAAAGGTTTTAACCCATCTAGCAATCGTCTGGCTGGTCGCTGGCTGATAAGGTTTCCTAGTGGTTATTATCAAACTATTGATGTTACCTCTAAGCTTCGACGTTCTTTCAAGGTAGGCTTGCAATGTACACGCTACACATAATTCTGGTTTTTCAGGGAACCTAGGTAAAAACAGGAGTGGCTTGCATGTTCTTAGGTACGAAGTTTTTATGAAATTGTTAATTTTGATTGCAAAACTTTTTTCATCTTTCGTTATATTTGTCAATTCGATTAACGAGAGAGTTTGCATTCTCTGCGCTGTAGCCAACGCTAAAAGCACAACTAAACGATCCGTAAGCTGTGGTAATGAAAGGACATTTAGCGGGAACAATGCAGCCACTGTCCCTAAAACACGAGACACATCCCAAATATTTTCGTATCTTGCCTTAGTCGGTCTCATCCGAAAAACACCTTTGAAAAACCGCGTAACCATGGAGCCTTGAGATATCTTTTCCCCGATTAACAATCCCAAGGCTGCTCGACAATTATTAAGAGTGCCATACGATGCTCCCGCTTTAAATCGTTCCGTTAACCATGTTAGTGTTTGACTCTCGTTAGCTAGGTACGGGTCTATTTCCAACCTAGAACAAAAATTAATCCAATGTCTAATAGCACCCGTATATTGTTTAATCGTTGCCTCAGCCAGCGATGCCATCATAATATCTATAGCAGGGATGTGCCGGTACCCGAAATCACGGGATTCCCGAGACTCGGGTCGGGTCGGGACAAGTCGGGCGAGAGCGGCCGGGATCCCGACAGTATAAATTGCATCGGGATCCCGACAGATGTCGTCCCACGTAACATTTTCGCGTCCTGAATGATATTTTCGAGAACTTTTCAGTGTAACGGCAAAAAATTATACTATACGATACGATACCATATTGAATCTTCAGGTTCATGATATGAACTATAAATGCTAAATAAGTTGACAATTCCATATGGTATCCTCCGGTTGGACAGGTTTAATAATACAACCTTCAGTAAACATTTCTTCGTACGTTATGTTTTTATTAAGTAAAATAATCATTAAGAAAATATCATTCGGGACCCGAATATGTTTCGGGAACCCGATGCGATTTATACTGTCGGGATCCTGGCCGCTTTCGGCTTTCGCCCGACTTGTCCCGACCCGACCCGATCCCGAAATGTCGGGTACCCGCACATCCCTGATCTATAGATTGCTCTGGCGTATTCCTTATACGGAAAGCCTCCCTGATACTCTCCCTGCCATCAATATCAACGATCCGGCTAACGGATGTTGACAGGATCTGCCAGGCGAAAGTAGCAAATCAGGTGAAGATTCGAACATAATCAAAGGCTCAATAAGTAGTGACTTTAGTAGTGGAAACCATGGTTGTGCGCACCATTTTGGAAATACTAAAATTCCTTGTGCCTGGTCTTGTATAATTTTTCTTAACACCTCAAGGAGCATCGAAAAGGGAGGAAATGCATAAAAACTAAGGTGTTTCCAATTTAATGTAAACGCATCTACCACTAACGCCTCTGGGTCTCGATGTCAAGAACAGTAATCGTTGTATTTTGAATTACATCTTGACGCGAACAAATCTATGGACGGAGTACCAAAAACTTTGACTATTTCTGAAAACGCTGTATTTGACAATTCCCATTCTGTATCAATATTTTTGTGACACGTGAACCCCTATCTGCTTCGACATTCTCTTTAGACACAATAGAGGATGCAAATAACCAGATTTCTCTCTGTTCGCACCACTTCCAAATATTTCGCGTTATTTCATTAAGTCTCGGATATTGAATTCCACTCATTCGGTTTATATACGAGACCGGTGTAGTATTATCAATTCTCAACAATATCTCACACTTTGATAAGTTTTTTGCGAAACATTTGAGGCCAAAAAATGCTGCCACTAATTCAAGACAATTAATGTGATACATTCTTTCTGATTCTGTCCAGAAACCAGATGTCAGTTCACCTGTACGATACGCCCCCAGCCCGACGTGGAAGCGTCTGAAAAAATATCCATGTAAAACTGCGCTGACCTAGTTGGATTAAATGCTTCCGAAATAACATTTATCCACCACTCAAAATCAGGTTGCAATAATTCCTTTAATGGCATTATTGCATCATAATTGTTACCGTTTTTTACTAAGGCTAGATATCTTTGACGTTCGAAGGACTTTGTATACAACCGCCCATATCTTACCGCTAAGCGTGACACCGACAGCAATCCAATTAACCGGGCGAAATCCCTAATACGGCATTCATCCTTTTCTTTAAAGCTTCCAAGACTGTGCAGTATCTTTTCTTTTTTCCTTTCAGAAAATTCGAGTGTCATTCTACGGGAATTAATACTGAAGCCTAAAAATTGACAAATCTGACTCGGAATTAAATTACCTTTATCGTTATTGATGAAAAAACCCAGCTTCTCTAAAGATTCTCTTGTCCTTTGTAAGTTCCTTAGACAAGAGATGCTATCCGAATCTAAACACAACCAATCGTCGAGATAAATTACTGACATGAAGCCTGCCATTCTCAGAGAATTTGTAACCGGTTTCAAGATTTTCGTAAATATCCATGGCGTGGTAGATAAACCAAATGGGAGACAAGTAAATTCAAATAAATGACCTTCCGAAGAAAATCTGAGATACTTCCTATCGTACCGTCGAATCGGAATAAAAAAATATGCGTCCCTTAAATCTATGGTGGCCATAAACGAATCTTGGGACACCAATTTCGTCGCTGTTCGGATGTCCTCCATCTTACAATGATCTGGAGTAATAAGTTCATTAAGCTTTTTTAAATTTAGGATGAATCTCAGTACCGTTCGATTGCGGCTACTAGAAAGTATCTGGAAATAAATTGATCAGTGCAGGCTAAGTATTTTTTAATTGTTCCTAGCTTCCTCAAACGAGTGATCGTATTCAAATATTCTAGTTCTTCCGAAGCATTTAATAAGGGTTCTGGGGGCGCACAAAGCTGTTGCGGCACCTCGTCAAAATGAATTGAGTAACCACTTATGTAATTCAATATCACCTTATCATTAGTGATCTCCGACCAGGCACTTCCGAATTTTTTGAGTCTGCCCGCTATCTGTCTTATCCCTAGTATTTCTGTGTTGAAATTTGCTGTGGGTTGATCCGGGATCGAAATTGGCTCTGTGAGCGAAAGGCATTGTTCTGCGCTCTCTCCGGCTGATACCTACCGCGATGCACTCCCCGATGATAACTTTTTGGCCTGTAACCCGTCTGAGAATAGCCCTGGCTCCTTCCAGGCAGGACTTTCCAGTTTCCCGACACGGTTGTTTTGGACGACACCTTTTTCCCAAGTTGTTGGGATTTCAAGGTCAGCCCGACCTTCTCCATCGACTTCGCTGTGTTCAGTCCCGTCGATAATTCCTTCCCAAAAAGGAACGCGTCGGTTTTCGCTCTTTCCAGAAGATCTTTTGCCTTTCGATCCAAACTAGGATATATAAGAGCCTTTCTCGTCTTACTGACTTGAAAATAGGCCTCGGACATAAGTTTCCCTGCGTCCACCAAACACTTAAGAACCACTGATCTATTCCCTTCATCGTCTTTATTGCGAACCAGAATAGAAACGCCTGCACACAGATCAGACATTGCCGAACCCAGAGTATTCTGATCCGCAGCAAAAAATTTGTCTCGCTTCTTCATCGAGTCGTTAATTTATGACTCCACTGCTGGGTTAAGTTCGGGCGCTTCAAAATTATAGTTACCCTTACGAGGATATTTCCGGAGAAGTTCCTGTTTCTCATCCTCAGTGAGACCATCCTACGCCCAAATCTGCCAACGATCACCGATTTCTGAATGTAAATTCAGTTCAGTTCGTTACTGTCACTTGTTGATCCTTTCTCTCCGAGAAGTTTTAACATTTCCTCATCCAGAGGATCTACTTCTTCAACATCTTTGTCCTTGGATTGGTCTGCTGCTTGCAATTTCTGATCAGAATTATCAAGCAGACTGCTAACTATCGAGATCGTCTCTATCCGATAACAATGAGATCTCCGACGACGTATAAGATCCTACAAAAATAGCAAATCTGTTATTGATCGTCGGTAACAACGGCATCTGTCGTACCGATCGATTCGTGCGATTTATCCCACAGCTTCTGTGGGCCTATCGCCACAAAGCACGGTATGTCCACTCCCCTCGTGAGGGCCCAGCGTCTATAACGAGGCACGGTTTATCTCATACCTCGCATGAGCCTACCGCCCTAACTTCCTTTTATTTCAAATATGAAATTATACTTACGAGATCTTTCTCGCCTATGCGATTCATCATCATAAGAATGGCCGACCCTTGCCGCGCTTTCATTTACTTTGCGGGTACGCGACCATTGCGAATGGCGCCTACTCCGAACTTCTTTCTTTAACTTCTTACATTTTTTGCGCAATTCCTCCAACTCGCTCACCTGAGTCCGAGAGCGAAACTTCGATTTGCGTCTCTTCTCATAAGAAGATTTCCCCATTTTTTTTCTCAATGAAAACTGTAAAATACACTATTTATAATAAAAAGGAATCACTATCTATGACGATTGACGACGCGAGGAGAACGTAAGAGGCAGGCAGATTTGTCTTTTGTTAACTAAAGATAGCGGCGATATCATGTGTGGAATAGCAGTACTACATAGTTAAATCTCGAGAACGAAACTCGTAATATAATATAACATCAAAGAAACTTAATTTTGCTATTTTGTTAGAAGTGTCAAGAAATACAATATATTGTCAAGAACAATTTGCATGTGGTACTTTAGCAGTGTACCCGTTTAGTTACATATTAATAACTCGTGTACATAGGTGTAAGTTTTAAAAAATAGAATACGTAGAAATAATTGTTGCAACCGTTTCGATTAGTTTTATTTTTAATAATTTCCAATTTCAAAATTCAGGTTGTTCGTTTGAAAACAGGTTTCATGTTTCATATCTTTGCATTTTTTGGACGCCGTAGTATGAAAAAGTGTAGAAAAATTAATAACTTTTCTAACACTTTAATACGGCGTAACAATATATTATTTTTTATTATGGTAAATACAACGAATTAATTAGAATTATTACCATGCAAAAATAATTATAAATCCACAAACATTCTGCGGATTTATTTATATTTTCTGTAGATTAAATGCAATATACAAATGTAATTTATTACATAATAATTTCGTTAGAAATAACTTCCACTTGTTTAGCGTGTAGTTAAGTACTTTATTTTCACATGAGAGGTTGTATAATATTCGTGTGGTCAAAAAATTGCAATTTATCATTTTTTCTTAGGGAGTCTGAGGACACGATGCTGCTGATATTAAAGGAGATATATGGTTCCGCGGGTATTCAGACGGATGCTCAGCTCCCTCAACAGACATTGTCGATAGAACGAGCGTCTCCTTTTCCACCCTTGGTTTCATCGGTATCTACGTCTACGAACAGCGATATTACATCGCCCGTACCTGTTATAGGAATGGATCCTACTGCACCAATATTAGAAAGATCTGTCGGCCCCCCTCCAAAGAGTGGATTTCTTAGAAAATCATGATTAAGAAAGCATTGTTCGAATGTTGATGAGTTTAGTGAATTTAAAATTTGTGGTGAGGATTTATAACAAATTGCGATCGATCAGGGTGATGCAGGCATTTATGCTTGGACATTTATACCGGTCACGAACTAGAAAAATGAAATCAAAGTTTTTCCTTTCTGTGGAGGTGTTACACTAGAATATTACTATCAGCAAGTGTACTACACGTTCCGAAATCTTGCTCGAATGGATTGTTCCTTTGTGTGCTTTAACACGTTTATACGTATTTGCGTCAACGTGTTAAACAGTGAATGAATTAACATCGTCCTGAATATTGGCCTACCCCAACTACTCGAAGCACAAAACAATTAACTGAAGTCAAATTACGTAAATGAAATTAAGGAAAGCTATAAGAATCGAACAACTTTATGAACTCGAATCGCGAATTTCATTAACTGGCTTATTATTCACGTAAAACGTTTTTGGAGTCTAGAAAATATTTATTATACTTATAAAAGAAGAAGATTAAGACACGCAATAAACGAGCAAGTGAGTAAGTGAGAATTTATAATACGAGAAAAAATTGCGGAGATTAATTGTATTGCTTATTGTAAATATATGATTGATAAATGCATATAAATTAAATGAGATAAAATTATATGTATATATCTATATGATTTTTTTTCAAAATACGCTTGCATCGAGAGGATTTATAAGTGTAATTTCTCGAATATGCAAGAATTTTAATAAAATACGATATTCTTTTAAACGGTATAATTTTCTAACATCCTTACATTTTTCCCCCTTATATCATTAACCTGATTACCTTTTCGTGTTGGTACAAATGTTACATCTTACAGTTCCTTTTTGATTTTTGTAATTTTATCAGCACATATATTTTATTCGAAATAATATGATTAGTATGATTGAATCTAAATATAAAATGTAATTATTTTACCTTACAGATAAATATATTGTAACATATTTTTTAGTACAATGTATTGCATTTACACTTTAAGACTTTTGAAATTTGGACAAATAGTTTTGGAAATCATTTTCGTTGTAAGAACACTTCTCTGATGTACAAAATTAAATACATATAATGACATTCTATATTCGAATCATTAAATGATTTTTAGAAGGAACTATAAATGAAAATATGTATACATATGTATCTACATATAATGACGAAAATAATTATTATCTTAACAATGGTCGACACATAATGAAAACATTTAAAAAGAATATGTTTCTCGTGGAATCACGTAGATTCGGTCTCGATAAATGATGCTTATTCATGTTTTTATTTTTGGTAAGGATCTGTTCTGGTAATGGTATCGTTACTCCTTTTAAATGGTGGAATTTAAAACACCATTTTGTATGTTTCTTACAACTCTTCAATGAAGCAATTAATTTTCTTCACTTGTAAATACTTTTTCACTTATGTTTAGACAACACAATTCACAAAGTTTGATAATGTAAATTGAACACACTTTGTACAGATGCTCCTGTACCAAGTAAAAATGGCCATATTTTCATTGAGTGGTTGAGCAGAAGAACAATTGGTACATTTTTCGGATTTACTTTCGAAATATATACCATATAAAATTTGCTACGTCGCTTGTACATGACACATATAATACTACATGTACTTTTTAACACATTCTACATTGTTTAAATGGTTATTAATTTTATTTTTCATTTATATCAATTTTATAAATGATATTCGATTTATATTCTCCGGAGAACCGACCATTCCCGGTATACAGCGATCCCAGTTGTATTATCAATACCAAAAATTCCCGAGACTTAATACAACGAATTCTGCGATTTGTTCAAAATGTGAATTACTTTACAAACAACAAAAAATATACAAATAGACAGGTTAAATAAACGTAGTCATTTCATTATATGTACTAAGGACAATAATAATAATAATAATAATAATAATAATAATAATAATAATAATTTATATAAATAATAATATTAATTCGAATATCACTTACATAATATATTTCAATTAATATTACTATTATTACGAAATTTCCGGGATTAGTTATATCAGATTTCGGAATTTTTGGGATTCAAAAAACAGCCGGTATCGCGAGATTCCGAGATTGTATTCCCTAACTGTAGATAATTACAATTCTACATACATACATATATGTATAGTAAATATGCGCACACCGTGGATATCGGCTAGAAAACAATATACATATCGACAACAGTGTCATGTGGCGAAAAGCGGTCCGCTTCCGTTATCCTGATAAGTTTTGTCACGGGCGTAGGTAATTACAGTAAAACCTGTTTTTGTGCGGTCCTTTTTTATGCGATTTGTTTTGTGCGATTTTATTTTTGTGCGATTTTTTTTGTGCGATTTTTTTTTATGCGGTATATGAATTTCAACGGCGTTGGCATTACTGTAATGTTTTCTATCAGTGTACATATAAATATACACTTCAAGACGCTCTGTTCATTTGGTTTAAACAGTTTCCCGACAATGTACATTCAATTATTTTCGCTCGACGCGCTAGCAGCATACGCTTCGTATTCCGAGTTTTATCCACGACTCACGTGATTAAGGATTCATTTTATAGTGAGATTAAAGGTAAATAAATTAATTACTTTTGTTTCTATTTGTATATAGTTTTTATGATTTTCATTTTATTTTTAAACATATGTACTCCCTTAAAATGAATAATTGTAGCCAAAAAAAAGTGAAAAGAAAGACAATTCCATTAGAAACAAAAAATCTAATATTAAATAGACTAGCAGATGGTGAACCAATTCATCACAAGAAGATGCGCGTTAAGGATTACGACGACTAGCAGTGAATTATGTAATATGCATTTTGAAAACTTCTCCATGTATACAATGAAAAATTAAATGTTTTTATAATGTGTAATTTAATTATTTATTTTGTTTGGAAGCACTTTCTCATGTATTTCGTAAATAATTGACGTATTTTCTAAGTGCGATTTTTTTTCTGCAGTCCCTCTCCGCCGCATAAAAAAAAATTTCTGTAGTATGTCGTACAAAGTTGTTTATTATATGTAGTATTTATGAAATTTCCTAATATTTTTTTGTGCGGTTTCTTTTATGCGGTCCCTATCTACCGCATAAAAACAGGTTTTACTGTACTAGACTGCGGATGTTTTTGCAAATATAGAATTTTATGGATTAATGTTTTGAAACTGAACGAAAAGAAAAAATTTGTATGCTGTCAGCTATGAATGACGAGTATACTCGTCATGAAGACATGGCAATTTTTTATCTAATGACGAATATACTCGTCGTGCAAGAAAAGTAAACGCCATTTGTTATTTAAATTAAAATTTTTGTGAAAAGTAAAACATATTTGTAAATTTTAGACATTTAGAATATATTGAGACTTTTTGACTATTTAGATTAGTTATTTTTACATCCCTTTTTTAAATAATTTTCTTTTAATAAGAGAACTATGAATGTTTAAGTTTTTTAAATATTAAAAAAAAATTAAAAAAAAAAAATTGACTTTTAAAAAAAAAAAAAAAAATGAAAAATAAGTGCTATCATAGGTATTTCCTTATGATTTAATTCAATTTTACAGCAGCTGCACGTAATCTGTATTTAACGAGTGTAAGGTAGGTACACATTTGTAGAAACCGGCACCACAGCTAAGAGGTTAAGTGCTCTGGTAGATTCGAAATAAAGAGAAAATTTGAATAATTTTCCGAAACTTTTTACTGTACTCCATTTTAAAGAATTGGGTATTCTATAAATGTCTCAAATGCGCAGTCTAGTAATTACTAATCACCGGACAGATGTCATTTCGAATGGGCGCTACTCGTCTAGGGGATCATCGAATTGAACGTCAGCTTATCGTGCGAGCAGTTTTTTGTTAACTGACATAAAAAAGAATGCTTCGGCACATGCACGGGTATCACGAAACGCTACTTAATTGCGGTGCAAGCCCACAGAAGCCAATGTGGCGGGGTGAGGCCTGGCTGCTTTGCATTTTGCGTGCAGGCTCTCGTAAAACTACATGCCTGTCAGCCCGGGCGAATTTCAAGATGATTTATCGTCTTGGGCAAAACTAAGTTTTTCGCGATACTTCGTGGCTTCGGTGAAGGCACTGAAAGGCATAGGGCAATGCCGGCGGCGCATGCAACTACATTCGTCCGCTGTATAACTTGTACCGTTGCTTATGCGACCCGACGTCGCTTGATCGACTTGTGTTTTATGTCCCTTTCATCCAGCTCAGCCCCCCCCCCCGGCGCCACGGCTGTGATATATGTTTCCTCTTCTCGCCTCTGGAATCTCGCCGAATGATTTTCCTCGCAAGTTCACGTGAACCTGTTCTCTGTGGCTTTAACTACAGGGAACTATGTCCGCCGGATAGCTACCCTCGGATGAAACTTCGACTTTATTTTATTATACGAGATCTTATGATTTCGAATCTCTATATGTACAGGATGAGTTGTTTAAAACTTAGCATACCAAGGTGCAGTCACTCGGTGACCTCAATACATATTTTTTTAATGCCATTTGGAAACTGTTGAAAATACATTGCTGGGGATTTTTCTATGTCTCTTATTATTAATTCTGATAAATAAAAACAGGTTTATAAAAAGATCGGTTAAATGTTTATTGGAAAAAGATTAAAAATCTCAAAGACAATTTGTATAATTTTCGTATGTTATGTTCCCGTATGCCAGTTTTTTACTTTTTCTCTTTTCAGTAACTGATAATTGATATGGTGATTGTAATAGAGTAATAACTATGTGAACGATATTTCTGTCCAAAGATATTAGGGGGTGAGTGATTTATAGATATATCTCGGAAACAAATATAACTAACAATTTTTATTAGTAATTTCATTAGCTTTAATAAGAATATGATGTTAACAAAAAATAATTAAAATAAACTAAGGTAACAATAAAGTATCACGGGGTCCATTAGGAATCCGACTTGGTAAAGAACCTCGATCGTTTTACCTATGTATGCTAAACGTTAATATTCGTGCATTGTCCGGTTCCATTTAACC